GAGTAACATTCTGAAGTGCTCCAGCCAGAGTTCTAGACATATTCAAAGGTTTCTGTGTATAACTTACCTAACAGACTGTCTCATTGACGTCAGGCTTCTTCTTGTTGGTGGCTGAAGTGAGAAGAATAACTCCTAACTATTACAAGGTGCAGCAATGCTTTAATCTCGCCTTCGTCTCATAAGCGTTGGGCGTCAAGGTACAAGCGTAAGTGCTGCATGATGGATCATGTAAGAGATTTACACTAAATATTGTCCTTGTTGTCAACTGGAGTAGACTAATTAACACCAATAGGCTCTGAGAAAAACTACGGAGACCAAGAGCTTATAAATGAGACATTGTTCGGAGCCACAAATAGTTCTATGCTCTACTTGCATTGCATCTTGTACATATAGCCAATGACCATCCATATTTTCCGCAAGTTTGACAGCTGGTAGTAAATCTAGCTTGGCTGGGTATTTATTTACAAGACAAATAGCAGCCTGACTATCTACGTCAACCTGTTTATGAAGAAGATTGTGACGTCCACCAAAATAGAAAGCAAACTTAGCACACAGTAAAGTGTGATAAAAGTCCGAAGAATTGCTCCAGAGGGAATAATAGTCCTAAATAAACTCATATAATCTATAGCTGGTTGTAGTATGATCCATTTTAGTCGAGACATGTGGCATAAACAGAACACTAGATGGCACAACAGCGATGATTATGTAGGAGCTTTTGCCACCTAGGAATGGGTTATGACATGCACTGATGCACAGAATGATCCTAGTTATTTTTGTCACAGCTGGTTAACTACTGTTAAGCAACTAAAAAACTTTCCTTTGTGCCAATATGCCCCATTTCTACATTCAAATCCCCATCTAACATATCATTACCTGGTTGAGAAAGTTAGCCGGTTCATCTTTAGACGTGCCACGTCTGGACTGCTTCGAAATGTAGGTAGAGATAATGAACAGATACTATTTGCCATGCCAACTGGTTCTTGCTACAACCGAAATTTCTAACCTCACTAGGGTTCATCCAACTCTGGGGTTTTTCTAGACAGTGATATCAGTAAGACCAAATGAAGAGAAAAAAGTCAAACATGGTTCACGCAAATATGAAATATCCCAACAGAAATATACTAAAAACAGCATGAATAATTTGAAACATTCGCTTGTCTTTACAGATTCGAATAAAGCAATAGGAACAAATTTCTCAGCAAATAGTGTATGCTGTCACAGTCTCTTCAGCCCCATTTACCGGTTAGTAATAGTCAATTCATTAGGAGAGTGAAGATACCTACGAATTTAAAAGCCAAATTCTATTAGAGGATAGTAGGAATGACTGATATGTCAGGTTGGAAAAAATGCTGAGGAGCTATTTGTGAATTTAAGGCAACAGTTCTAGAATAGAAGTAGGGTGATATTCAGTTAAATAAGGCAGTAAGGTGATAATTATGGGCTTACAGTAACAATAAGATGAAACTGGGTAAGAAATAAAGGCGTGATAGACATCACTAAGGCGGAAACCAGAAGTAGGGGCAAGAGAGGATAGAAGTCTTCAAGTTTCTGAGAAGGATCTTTTTGAGTGCAAAGGTCAGGCTTTAACCTTTTACTTGAGATAGCTTCTATGAACGAAAACCAGACCCAAGGATTGTAAAGGCATTATTGATGTCCACTTCATGTTTCATATCAACACAGATAACGAACTAATGAGCTGTTAATGCCGTTTTGTCCTTCACGACGTTGATTTCTCGGAATATGTTCCTGTCCACACAATCTACCTACTTTAACGGTCGCAAATTACCTGATAAGCGCAGTTTGACATTGAAAGAGATAGATGTTCACCTACGTTTGTTGGCGTGATGGGACCAATTACCTTGCAAAAAATGGTTGCATTCTCCTCTAAAGAATGTCTTATTGAGTGTAGCCTTCAATAGTTTCATCACCAGGCTTAGTGATATCTTCAGCACTAACGTCATAAAGAAGTCTTCACCATCATCCTCATCCTGAGCTATAAATCTTTTCCATAATTTAATAAGTCGATAGACTATTATACTCACGTTTGTTATTTTGACACATGTTTGAAGAGTGAGGTGAGCAGAAATAGAGTGAGGGTAGCTGGATTCCTCTTAAAATGTCCACCTCATCCACCTTTAAAAATAACCGAGAATAAGGGTGATAAATGTCTTCATTATAACCATGACCTGGAGTATTTCCTCAACTTAAGACATTATGACCTTAGCAGTTAGAAAGTGTATCTTATTTATAGAAAACTGACTGAGAAAACACTGAGCATGTTATACGAAGCCGTTTTCAAGCAACACTAGCAAACCGAAGGTAATGAGTAATGTTTTGATTCCACTTTTTTTGACAAGTATCAGATTAAATTCATATGTTAAGATTAAAGTTGACATTGTCTCATCTGTTATTAATCACTTGCGGAATAGCTGTTGAATAGTCGCATTTTAGACAGATCTCCTTTCATAAGAATGAAATATACGCATATTTAGATGATGTCATCCAAAACTGCTCTTCAGTAGTTAGTGTTTCGATCCTATTCTGAAACCAGATGTGAATCTGAATGGCCTATGTGTAAAGGGAAACCTCTTTCATAGTACTGTTGACTAACCATATCTAGAAAGATCACATATTGACAGAAAGAAACTGACTGTAGAATATCTGTGACATTTAAAATATTTCATTTGAATGTAAATTCTTTGAAGCTTGTTTTGTAGAATGCATCATTAAAGATTAAAGTAACTAAGATGGATACTTCAATCATTCCCCTGAATGTACAAGCAGGAACACGTGTATGTTGTAGCAACCTTCGTTTATAGAAATAAACATGAAATCAGTGTTCAAGTGCTGATGTTGGCAGATAGTGTATTGACGGAAATAACATTCAGGAAAACATGAAACACTTTTACCATTTAGTATGACGTTATTTGCGGTTAATGGGGATTTTATTTTTAAGGTGGTATTCATCATGGGCTGAAGAACCACTGAAGACCTGGAATTACTGGACAGCTGCTTCGTCCCGGTAAAGGTCTCCTCACAATACGCATCCACGACTAAGCCGCATTAACTTCAAAATACATTACTGGATAATGCTCATCAGTGACATGCTTCGAGAAGGATACTCCCCAGTTTCTAATGAAAAGCCATGACCATTGAGGTCAGTGAGTTGAAAACGAAGCAGATGCTAAAGGAATACCTTGGTGGATAGTTACACTATATCGTGAAATGACCATTTGACTCCTACTCACTGGCGGAACAACTAACATGTTTACCATGAAACCTGTAAGTCCTGACTTCGGTAGGATAGTGGGAGTGTACTGATGAGTTGTGACATACTAAGATGTTCAGTGCTCCCAGATTTTCAATGGTTCTCCAATTGATCTAAGTCCGTGATGAATTCCACCTTATAAACAGAAACAATCATGATCGAGTCACGATTAGACAATGAAATGAACTGCGCAATTTTTGACCTGTTATATATATATATTTTAATATATATATATATATGACAATGTAGATTTTGATTATTTCCCTGAAGAAGCTTGGACCAGACTTCCATGCCAAAAGTTAGAATATCTTATTTTAAATACGCTACGATTTTTCTAAATGTAACTTATATCAAAGGTCAGCTTTCAGTCGGCCCCGGTCAAATCTTGACCAAGATTAAGATCAAATTTCATGATCCAAATGAAACAGAGTAGTGATGAATAACTTTATCGAAAATTGGATCTACCACGTCAGTGAAGATATGATCTATTAAGAGAATGGTTTCTTGAAATTTTAAACTATTCAATCACTTGGGATTTTTACTGGTATTAAAGAATTTCTTGAAATCCAACTACAAACGGATATTTTACAACAAATCCGAACATTCAATAAAACAGTGACACTCCCTAAAGCACCAGTAATGGTTGTTGTCGTACACGAAACATGGTAAGCAAAGAAAAAATTTACGTGAACTAGTAATATTCAGTGCTAATGATCCAAGTGAGAATGGTAATTTTGAGGAAACAACAGAACCTGGCTTATTTCTCATTTTTGTATTCAAGATGTTAGTGGAAGCCATCCATCTCATGTGACATACAGCTATCGATATTTTACACCTGGGAGGGTTATATATGGACAAGATTTAAAGTGTGTGAAGGTTAAAATCAATATTTCAAAACCAGTTTAAAGAACGATGCTACCTTAACAATATCATCTACGAGGATTTTTGCGACTTTGACAACAAGCTGTATCACTGCGTCGAATTCGTTTGTTTTTCCTCAGCAAAATATTTGGACGGAGGTGAAAAGAACAAGTAGAGGAAGGCCTTAACAGTAAACGCTAATTTTAGTCTTCATCTCAAATGATCAAAAAAGCGAATCGTAAAGTTACTAATAATACTGTATCGTCAATTGGGGGAGTGAGGTCAGTGAAGTCTACCAAAGTACTATTCAGAGAGTAGGAACTAAAAGACGGAAAAAACATCTAGATACCCTTAGGTAAAGTAAATCTTCACACCTCTAATGAAATATTAACCACAAACATATTTCAAATTCAATTAAATAGTATATTTTTCAGTTATTGACCTAATGAAACTCAGCACAACAAACAGTCTTCATAACAAGAAAGTAGAGAATATTTGAAGCAACTACTTGACTAGGCATTTAAGATAAAAACGATCAAATTCATTATTCGAGTAATGTGAAATGCAATGCTTATAATGAAGAGGGTGGTTTGAATTGCACAACACTTGAAGAAGACTTCAGCTTACTGTGAAAATATGGGTCAAATGAACTTTCATTCAATGGCGGTACGCGACACTAAATACAATAAACCACGTTGGTTCACTCAAAACTACACAGTCAACATACACACAACAAGAAATCAAAAGAATAATCACTACAATTTATAACTTTCATATATGTATACATCTCACAAACAATATACACATCAACACAATAAAACAAATGTTAACACAATAACATCATGATCGTGAATAATAAATATCATTGATATCATGAGGTGAAGAGTTTGACGAGATCGTCAATACTCCACTCCTTATCACCATCCAAATTGGTCTCCTTCAAGAATTCATCGAAACGCTCCTTCGGAATCTCACAGCCAAAATCACCCTCCAACAGATTCTTCAATTCATGTGACGACAACTTGCCTGATTTGTTGACATCGGCTTCATCGAAAAGAGCTCTGAGTTCATCCCTACACAATGGTAAGAGAAACAAGTGGTGAGAGGAGATAATGATAATGAATGATGAGACTGTCATGTTGAGAAATCAATCATAAGAGCAGAGATATTTTAGTCGTCTTCAACTCCAATCTACTTCGATCAGCCTAACCCCAACGACAGTGGAAAAAGTCAAATAAAAATTACTCACAACTGATACATATCACATCCCATATGCAAGTGAATTGGGTAGAGGAATGAATGAATGAATGTATGAATGAGTGAATGAATGAATGAATGAATGAATGAATGAATGAATGAATGAATGAATGAATGAATGAATGAATGAATGAATGAATGAATGAATGAATGAATCAGTCAGTCAGTCAGTCAGCCAGTCAGTGGAGTCACTCACATTGCAGTCGGAGGAGAAGAAGGGTGACCGAGTGAAGAGGAGAGTGTAGTTGGTTGGTTTCGAGACGACTTGAATTGAGTGAAGTTTTGTGGCCATGAGTATAGTACCAGCGTAGTATATATAGTGAAAATTCTGTCCAATGATGAAACAAGCTGTCTATGTGTTAATGTAATAGGTGAATGAATGAGTGGTGGAGTGGGTTGTTGAGTGAGGTAGGAAGGGGTCAATGAAGAATCGAGAGACAAGTAAGCACAGAGACACATGGACAATGTAGCACGTGATATTGACTGGACACACATGATATGCGGAATCATTTGATATTGACAGGTGGTCAATAGATGGAAATACTTTGCATAACTTGAGATTTTGTATTTTTTTGTGCATGATAGTTTTACGTGATGTGACGTTTTCTGTGTCTTATCACTGAATTATACGCTGGTTTTCATTGTGCATTTTCAGTGTCGGGAATTCTGTTTAATACCTGATTTTGGTTAATAGTCAATCATTTGGTTTTTAACAGAGAAGGAATACCACTTTGCGCAGAATAATATAATGGCTAATTATCTCTATGATTTTTCGTTACCAGCTAACAATCTAAGACATTTCGTTACTATATAGCAAAAGTGTTTGAACATACCTTTTGGAGTTTAATGAATCTACTTTCTACAGATTGTCGTCGTAGTGTAAAGAATGCAGTCATCCGGAGAAGGTTAACATTATCTGGTTAGAAGTTTCAGTCATTTATCTGATTCGACAGAGTTCAAGTAATGGAGTGTTTTAGTAATAATGTGTTTTGGTATATAGAGCAAAAACAATTGCTTACGAAGATGATGAGAAATAGGTAAACCATGTAAGTTATATATTGAATTGAGCTGAGTTAGTCAAGTGGCTATCAAAGTTTTGTACAAACAGGAAGTGCTTCAGTCAAAAGACTGTGTCATCATATAAGAGACGAAAAATGAAGAAATTAATTTACCAAAAAAAGACTCCTTTCTGCTTCTTTTTGAATGCATAATTCCAGTTTCAGTCGTTTGATCACTAGAGTCTCAATGAATTTCAGAAGGTTTACACTGCGGTATTTCCTGATTCCAAGGTATTCACTTCATGTCGCGTGTCGATAAGATGCCAAGTGATTGCACTATGTAAAGCACTTGTTTCCTTTAGACGTCGACTATTCGGTACTTAATCAAAAATTCTAAAGTATATCCTGTTCTTTCAATGTAACTCCTGTCGCAGATAGACGTAATACTTGTGACATGAGAAGGGAACTTGCCCACTTCTGATTGTTCATCTTATTGTCTTGACATCTTACGTATTAAATGATGGCTCCTTTGGAGTAGCTATTCTTTTCCACCACCTTATCAATATTCAGAAAATCTTCTTGTGATTTATCCCTTGAAAATATCCTTCTTTTCTGGTAAAGTAGTATTTTGACTGCGGATCGTTTAAAAGGGATCAAGTGGAAGCTATTGGAAAGTAGATATAATCCATTCCATGTAATCCTTCGATGAATGGATCTTCGAAGAGTTTTATGGAACTGAAACTGAACTTCTTTGGCACACATTGACGAGAAGCATCTGAATTCTGAAATTGGCAGAAGGAGGAGATCTGGATTTTGACAGATAATATCAGAAGTCTTATGAATAAGAATCTTTGTGAATCAGGAAAATGCCAAATGATACCATAAAAATATTAGAGAAACTAATTTGTCTTCCAGCTTCTACAAACTAGAATGGATTCTTCAGTTTTTACATTGACTGGTTACTGGCGAGCAAATAATCTCATCTTTTCTAGTCGTTAGTGCTGGCCGATTTCTGTCTCTCATTTTGCTATGTGGCAGCCGAGCTAAGAGGCTTAGCCCCCCCCCCCCGCTGCACTTTGGTGGATGTCAGTTGGTTGGAAGCAATCAGCAAGATGCCCTGTAACTAGGTTTCGCGTTTTTTGGCACTCGGTAACAAGGCGTAAGTGTAACCTCAACAGAACCACCGTCCCGCTTAAAATTCGAACACAAACCACCCAGTTTTGTAGTCAGCGACTCTACCACTGAGCTATTCGGGTGGAATTGGTCCAACCAACTAACATTCTTCCGTTTTTGACAAGTATCGTTTTCAGAGTTAAATTTTAGAACAATTTGTTGTCATTTGATGTTAAACTGAGTTATCAGGTGTGGAAGTTAAAACTACCATCTGACTTCTATTCGATAAATCTCCTTCAGAATCAAAATATTACATGGCTCAATGTCAATTCTACAATTACCAGTTATTCGAAGTACTGGGTTATGCTTAAGTCATACTACAATAATTTATTGTTACGAAGCTTGATTTGGTGAGTGACTTAATATCGTGAAAGCTTAGTCAGAAACCCCGTTTCGTCTCCAATTCAGCTAATTAACCAGTCAGTCGACATTCAAGTTCGCATTAATACCATCCAGATATGAATGTACATGCTGTTCAAACGTCAATACTATAGGATCATACGGATAATGACTGTGTTTCGTTTGCTTTATCTCAATGATGGTATGCAAATAAGGTGTCTACTAATCTGCTACCTAATCTGTTGGCACGATGTTTTCCCGCGCATAAATCAAACTTCCTAAATCCAGTATGTTTTGTACAGCGCATTCATGAAAAGCAAAAGTGTTTTCTTTCCACTGTACAACTGCAACAGTTTACCTCAGTTAATACTACTACTACTACTACTACTACTACTACTACTACTACTACTACTAATAATAATACTAATAATAATAATAATAATAATAACAGCCAACAGACAGAGAACTTTGAGCGCAGAGAATGCTGGTCATCTAATAAAATAACTCCTGCCAAAAATTTACATGAGTTAAGATGTTTTTTCACAAATGTTTTAACTAGAAGGTTTAGAAGTGGACCACTAGTTCTCCGGACAATATTCAAAGTTCTACGCAAAATAGTATAGTCTTTTTTCAGTAACCCGGAGCAGAATAAAGGGGACCAATGGAGGAGGAGACTGAGCTATACCAGATACTCTCAGCTTTCTAATATAGAAAGCTAGGCGGAGAATTCTTTCGGAAATTAGTGAGATATTGGAGGACCAGGAAATGTTCAAAGAAAAATACAAACGGGGATAAATTACACTTGTAACATTCTCTAATGCACAACTACCAATAGAACAGGAATCATGTGACGTAAGCAATTTACACAGGTTATGTTTTAGACGGAAACTTAAGTCTGTGCTATGATATTATGAAGAACTAAGCATATGGCCATTCAAGGAAGACCATCGTCTAACAGTAGGTGGGAAACCATTCAGCTGGGAATAATTTTTTGAAGAGGTGACAGGTATAGAAACTGTCGGGTCATCAGTTCATTTGATAAAATTGATACTAGCTGAAAATGGTAGATCATGAAGAAAGAAGGAGAAAAGACCTGGAGAAAGGATAGCTCCTTAGGGAACACCAGCTTCAGTAAGCAATGTAGTAAAGCACCCCCCTCTGTGAACTATATATTTTTTTCCCTTCAGAGAAATGGGAATACAACTAGCTGATTATCCAGGATTCAGCATTTTTCCCGTGTAGCTTGTCCAGCAAAAGAGATCTTGGGGCAAAATCAAATGCCTGGAAGTAGGTACGGGGAATAACCTAATATCTTTCCAGGCAGTTGGCATAGTGTTTTCTAAAAACTATCCCTTAAACATGTTACCTAATGGATGGCATAAAATATCAGTACATTTCGTGAGTTCGAAGCTTAACATACCATCCAGACCTGAACTGTGTAAGGGGTTCTGAGATTTCAGACATTTGAAGACATGTTTGTAGGTGAACCCTGGACAACATTTTTATTTGGAAATGTGTGGACAAAGTGGGATAGGTCAATGCAACACATGCACCTGTAAGGAATGATCCAACCAAGTCTCAAACTATTCACTAGAGTTTCACTATTCAATCAGGGACATATGTGAAAGGTTTAGTCTATTCATTAATCTAGAGCAAAATACTTGCAGAATCTGTGATATAAAAACATTGGACATGGAATATGTATTGAAGTGGTTCAGAAAGTGAGCACAGATATTCAACATGATACGAATCCATTCGGAGTGCCTCATTCTTAATAGGCATTTGAGATTTATGGATAAAAGTATACGATAAACTGCTGGGCATGTTCACTGCAGATGAATTCATTACTTCCAACTGACTTTTTGATGTTATAGTGATTACCATTTTTACGAAATTACAAAATATGTGTCGTACAATAGATCTGATTGGTAAGATCCATCTACTTTCACCAACATCTTTCGCTAATTCCAATGGATGATATAACTTCTCATATCTCTTGCCTTATACACATGATCCACTATTGAGTAGGTCAGATCTTCTGACAACTCTTTCATAGATAACGAACGGAGAAATTCCTTAACTGCTTTCTTATATGCGAATGACGTTGACTATATATCTACTGGTCAAATATTTTATGACCAACTTATCCATAAACTTCTATGATTTCCAATATCACGTCTAACAGAATTTACCATTATAAGGCATTTCTGCATTCGCTTTCTCATATCAGATGCCTGGGGTTTACTTTTTCGATCCATGAATAACCGTGGATCGCCGTGTAATAGAGTATGATAGACAATGACATAGTTCGAGAAATCGATTGTGCACTCATGAGGAAGTTTATCTCACGTGCAGTTCGTCGAGTGCTCGGGCCTTATTAAATCTTCATCTCATGACAAACTGATTTGTGCAGCTACACATGACTGCTTGTGAAATTAAAAACATTTGCATCTGTGTGTATGTATGTATGTGTGTGTGTGTGTGTTATAGGGGCAGTGCGGACAGGAAACAGTTTCAGGGAGGAATAACGTGATGCGCACCTAAACAGCTGATCATAGATGAATACACAGAAGTTCGAAGAATACATCCCAATGTTTGCTATGATTACAGCGGTCAATTTGCTCAATTACCTATTCACACTCAGAATACAATCAGTTACTGTAATCATTCTACACCTTCACCACCAACAAAGCACTCAGTCAAGCACACACATACACACAGACATCTATACACTCCCTCCCTCTCTCTCATGAACATCATTTAACATTCAAACAACACACACACACTAATCACTAATCAGTCAGCTGATCAACATACATTTGAACACTTGGTGGCTAGTTTGATCATCGGTATGCCATTCAAGGACAATAAATGAGTGATTAAGCAGAATGCAGCAAGTCGAATGGTGTCGATGATTTCCAGTAGTCATGTGACACATAACAGGTGATCATTGGTGATGTGACTTCATCAGCGTCGACAGGATGCTTATGAATGAGTTGAGTTGCCTGTCATCGTGTGTGGTAAGCCAGTGCATGTAGATGTGTGGTTATAGTTGATTGGTGTTGATCAACGTAATCCGAGAGTTAGTTGTGAATGCGTCT